AAAATCAATAAAATGTATTAAAAAAAAAAAAACAACAACTGTTCCTTGAACCAGGGTTTTCATTTCCTTGGTTGAGGTCACTCCTTCCTGCTACGTGGACTTAGACAAAACCAGAGGCATGTGTTTCTGTGCAGCTGCCCAGCAGGAGTGGCCAGGCTGTGGTCCAGTCCTCAGCATGACCACCCACTCCGGCCACAAGGAGGAAGCAGAGCCCTCTGCGGGTGATCCTGCCAGTGACACACAGCACGCTTTAGTATCAGACCATGGCCAGCATGACCCTGCTCCTCCCACCTCTCTCTGACTCTCTCTCCCTCTCCCTCTCTCTCTCTCTCTCTCTCTCTCTCTCTCTCTCTCTCTCTCATAATGAACTCAGGTGAACATTGATTTGCCATGACTAGGGCTGAGCTTAAATATGTTTTTATTGTTTTTCTCAGAGGGAGAGAGAAACCTCAATGTGAGAGTGTGACATCCATCGGCTGCCTCCTGCAGGATCCGGCCCACAACCCAGGCCAGGAGTCCTGACTGGGAGCTCGGTGCATGGGCCCCCATGCCACGTCTAACCGTCCAGCCGGCAGCTGGTGCACATTGGAGTGGGCCATCATAAATAATGCTGCTGTGAACACGCGTGTGTACGATTCTGTGTGGACATATGTTTTCATTTCTCTTGGTATGTTCCTGAGAGTGGAATTGCATATGTAGACCCCTGTTTAATATTTTGAGGAATTGCCAAACTGTTGTCAATTTCCCATTCCTGCTAGAAGCGTATGAAGTTTCTAATTTCTGCCAGAAACCGAATGTTGTCACTAATAGAGAAATGTGAAAAGGGAATCTGGAAGGCTGGTCAACCTTAATGGCTCTGAATGGTCAGAGCTATTCACTCACTGTTTAGTTAAGACATTGGTAGTTAAAACAACCTCCACCTGTTAGTCATATGTGAATTCTTGCTGATTGTCTATCATTGGAATTTCCTGCCTAAAGGATATGGGAGTTTCCCATAACCTCAATAAAAGGGATGGCGAGGCCAGAGCAGTGGTAGTCATCCCCCTAGAGGTGGGCTCCCGCCCGGCCCCCATTTCCAGTCTCTTTTCATGTGTGTGCGGCCTTCTCCAGAACACAAAACCCCGAAGAGGAACCCTGGCTCCTCCAGATTTCCTCAGATCCTTGTCAACATTTGTAATTATCTGACTTTCTATTACAGCCATGGTAGTGTATATGGTTTTGAGTTACGTTTTCTAATGGCTAATGATGTTGAATATCTTTTCCTATGCTTATTGGTCATTTGTATATCTTCTTTGGATAAAGGTCCAAATCTTTTGTCCATTTTTAAATTGGGTTACTTATTATTATTGAGTTGTAAGAGTTGTCTATATAGCCTAGTTACACATCCCTTGTCAGGTAAGACTTTTTTGAGTATTTTCTCCCATAGTGAGCTGTCTTTTTCACTTTCTTGGTGATATCTTTTTGCCTCCTGTGGATTGAGTCCTGTGGATTACTCTGGTGAGGGGAAAGGGGGACAGGAAGAGGGGTTTTCCCAGTGGAGGCGGAATGTCTCTCGGAGCGTGAAGAGGTGATGTTTGTCCGAGTACGGGAAGGGAGGGAGCAGGCGTGGACCGGAGTGAGCCACACAGTGTCCCTTGGAAAGGGTCTGCTTTTCCTCTTGGAGACTGTGACAGTGAGGAGACAGCTTGTTTTCTCCTCCTGTGTTTGATCCTGAGTTGTTACCCCAAAACTTCGTGAAGAGTGAACAGCCCTGTGTGGCGGTTAAAGGAGGTCATTAAGGAAGGCCACGCACAGCCTGGGACAGTCTGACCTCAGCAGAGGCACCGGTGTTCCCAAGCCCCTGAGGTGGTGTCGCTGCTCCTGAGCGCAGCTCCAGGCCCTTCCTCAGAGCCGGCTTCCTGACCTCGGTCGCCCCATCGCCTCGCCTTGTCCCTGTGCTCTCCACTCCTAACGCACCTTGCAGTGTTTATGAGAGGGCAGGGCGGAGCGGGGCTAACTCCTGACTCCATTTTGTACTGTGGGGCAGGGTGGAGCTGGACCCCAGCCCTCACCCCACCTATCAGGGTCAGCCAAAGCAGTGCGTCACCACCCCTATAAGACCCCTTGACCTGTCGCAGTTCGGTCTCTCTTCCGCCATGCTGTCGGCGTGGGTGGGACAGAGCCCATGCTAGCATGGAAGAGGCTCTTTTGTTTGTTGCATCGGACTCGGCTCCCTGGTGGTTTTTGGGGATCACGAAGTCTGGGCGTAACATTTAAGCCTGTGAAGTTCTTTTCCCTTTTCCTTCCCCATCAGACAGCTGGCCTTCCCCCAACTCTTAGCACAACACTTGGCACACAGTAGAAGCATAATAAATATGTGGTTGAGCATCGACCTATTAACCAGGAGGTCATGGTTCGATTCCCGGGGGTCAGGGCACAAGCTGGGTAGCAGGCTTGATCCCCAGGGAGGAGTGTGCAGGAGGCAGCCAATCTACGGTTCTCTCTCATCATTGGTGTTTCT